ACTCTCTACATGCTCTTTGCTTTGGTAGAAAAGTCTTAGGATCAGATGAAAAAAAAGTCAAATAAACCGCGGCTGGACGCTATTCATCTCGACTTCTGATAAGAGATGCCTGGACAAAGCAAGTGACGTACTGTGTAGACTCAGAACCGCGTCATAAAGTTCGTAGGTGAGAATCGGTTCAGTCAGTTCGCGAAGGAATGTCTTAATGAGGGATGCCGGTAGATGAGGGTCACCGAAAGCCTCGAATTTTACAGAGCCACCTACAAAATTATGCTTAATGATAAATTTTGTATCAACGTTGAGTCACTTCGCTGTTTTTGGAGGTACCTGAGTTGTACGTCCCTTGAACAGACTTTACCAGCGTCGCACTTGGACATCGCCGAAAAATGCAGTCCACGTCTAGACCTGAGCGTGATGCGCAAAAGGATTAACAACAACAACACGACAATGCTACTTAACAATCCCAAAGTAGCAGATTTACTTACAGTTCCGGCGAATGTACTCAACTGACTCCTTAAGGAGAGATGGGATGGGGTCGTTGTTATTGTGCTTCATTATGCTTTGAACAAGAAGAGATCATCATGTTCAAGTGTGGTTAGGAGGTAGTACAACACAGGGTAAGTGTTTTGCTCACAAATCAAGAGACACGCCAAAGACCTGGTGGGGTCTGGGCGGATATTTCGCAGTTGGTGGGAGATAGGCTGGCAGCTGCACTGGCAGCTGACCACCAGTCTGAAACGTCAGGGTGTTTCTTGATCTAACAAGGTTGGCATCGTACCTGTGGGAAGGAATGCAAATTTTTGGACGATATATGCTCCAGGACTCAACGTGTATAAAACATCGCAGTTTTTGTCAGCTAACACTAATCACCGAAGCGCTTTTAGAGGGCGTTTGCCAATGAGAGGATAACCATCATTTGCATTCAATGCATGTGAATAGTAACCGCTGAGGAGCAAATGTGCAAATTAAAGAATGAAATCTTACCAAAAGTGTTTCAGAAAATCACCTCACTAGCACAGTAGTTCAAAAAAAGCTCACGAGAGAAGACACCACAAACAAGATCATTCGTGGGTCTGTTTCTAGACGTCGTAGTAAGGTCAAGTTAAGAAAAAATAAGTCTAGAGCATCGGAAAGAAAGTGCGCACATAGTCCCTAAATTGCTAGGCAAACAAGACAGGCTAAAGAATAAGCCCAATGACAATGAGAGCAGGGTAAAACGAGATCAGAAACGAGGAGGTGTTTACGCGATCAGTAATGTCAGGCGGTCTTACTTACAGTCGAACCCGTTGCGGAATTGGAATCTGGTCCAGATGCATGTCAATCGACAGTTCACTCAGCTGATTGACAAAGTTAATCTTCTGACCAAATTTCCGACTAGATGAAAACAAGCAAAGTAGAGGACTCTCCGAAAAGCAGTTAGCTAGTACTGCAAATTTCTTAGCAAGATTGCCTGTTTATTGAAAATAACTATCTTCAATGAAGAAGACACTCAGAAAGATGGATAAAAGTTTGGCAAAACTGACCTGATGATGGGTTTGAAAACTTTAATCATAAAGAGGACCAGATTGGTGGGGTGGACAATGTAGAGGGCTTTGAGATTCTTCTTGAAGTTGCGATCAAAGCCCCGGTAAGCCTGCATTAACCACTTGATTGGTGGTTTTGTGACGTTCGTCAAGCCGTAGTGGAAGTACACCAAAGAGTAGTCGTTCGCCACGTACTGCTCCAGTGTCCTTTTGATGTAACTGTTGCGGAAAGTGGCCCACGTTACTACATCGGCACTTGAAGCACTTTATATGGGTCAGTGGTGCAGTGATGGTTCTGCACTGGACGATTTCACTAGGACTCATAGCAAACCCACCTTGATGTTATATTTTAGTCGAGAAAATTGAAATTAGATAAGGTGACTAAAAAGTGTCGTTTTGCAAATCCAAAAGGACACACCTCTCCTCCAATAGAAACAAGCACAAATGACTTATTGCTACTCTCGCTTGAAGGTGTGAGCTGAGGCAGATCAACTCCATTCCCAATGATAAAAGGAAACAGGTGATCCGTAAAAAAGGTTCACTTAAAAATAAATTTAAACGAGAAAGGAGTGTTAGACCGCTTGCGATACAGTAGAATATAAGTACGTGAGGGTAAGGCAATAAACTTTTAACGTAATTTTGGAGCACAGACTCCGCTGAACAGTTGTGAAAGGTTTTAGAGAAAGGCCAAATGTTATCAACCATCCCAGTACAAAGTGCCAAAATCCTAAAGTCACCACTGAAGAGTGGTATTGAAAAGCGTATAAATCCAATCACCTAAACCAAGGGGTTGAACATGCTTCCCGTTTTATCCTATTCAAGGAAAAAAAACAAATGTTTGCCAACTAAGCATACGGTTCATTCGACTGCCCATTTAAATGTCGAAAGAGTGACCATTTGAGTTATAGGGAAAATATGATCTGAGAAAGAGTTAGAGGCAATAAAAATGGACATTGAAATCTGTTGTTGGCCAAAAAAAGTAAAAATCGCTCTAAGAGAATAACATTTGTTAATAAAGAGGTGAAATTACTCATAGAGACGTTGATAATCAACTTCGTCATAGGGTGGCAGGCGACATGCAGAGAAGACGACGACCTTCCGCCCTAGTCGATCGTCACCAGCGACCTGGATGACACCCAATCGCGCTATATCCTTATACTCTACGTCCAACGCCTCCTGAGCTGTCACCTCCTTCACAAAATAAACGCGGAGCACCAGCATTTAACACGTGTACACAAGCCATTTGTGATACAACCTCAAGGGTTCTGACAGGAGCATATAGAACAAATTAACGACTAAAGGGCGATAGTAGTAGGTAAGTAGTCATGCTAATGTCATCCGAGGCAACAACCATAGGGAAACAGTAAAAATGCTGTGTCTGGGTATGCGTCCCTCCCACATGCACATACACGAAGTGAAACCATTATGTATGCACGTGCGTTGAATTGCAGTGGCAAGGCCGTGTCATGATAAAAGTGGAGCGGTTGGCTGACACGGACCCACCACCTACACGCGTTCCTGTGGGGCACATGACATCTGATTCGTAGAGTGCCTAAATGGCAGCGAATTCCAATGTGATGATAAATCTGCGCCAATCCAGTCATCAAAATATGGCAAACAGACTCCTCACGTCTGCACACGCCGAAAGCAATTTCCTCTTGCCAAGTGAATGGGCAACAAAAAGTGAAATGTTGAGAAACGAAACCCAATTTTAAGATGAGTAATGATAGTGGCCAATATAAAACGCAATCTTACCATAAAAAA